ATAATAATAATAATACTCTGAGGAAGATGAGAGCTATGCCAGAGGTTCAACCATACTGGACAGGTCTCATCAGAGGAGTCAGACAAAGAGTGTCTCTCCCATAAAAAATATGGTGAGACGTAAATTTCAGAATGCCATACCGTCTCGGACGTCGCCCGGGTTAACAAGGTCCGCACTAGATATTGGAGTTCCTGGATATCTGGTGAAAAATGGGTTACAGGACTCAGGACTGTTGGCTGAGCAACCAGGGCCAGCAGCTGCAGAACGACTGGAAGAAAAGGTGTTTACCCGTCGCAAATACACAGTGATGGAAAACAAAGAAATAATGATCTGTTACTACAGATCAAGTCCAACAAGAAGAGGATATCTAAAACGAATGCACCAGTTCTGGAAAGAACAACATCCAGAATCAGCAATAACAGAAGAGAGACTAGCAGATCAACGCCGATTTATAACACGAAATAAAATATTCACAGAAACAGAATTGGACGAACTGCAAAGGTTTACCCAGGGCAAAGAAATCAAAGCCTTACCAGAAGTAATTCAGAATGTAGAGGCAAACCATGGGGAGTTGGCAGTGAAGGAATCTAGCAGAGATATACAACTGTTCTCATTTGGAAACCAGGCACCTCTACCTCAGGAAGAACAAAACCCTCTAACTAAAGAAATAAAAGAATTGAAACAAAGAATAACTGAGCATCTAGAACAGCACAAAAACAACAGAATAAGGCTACCTGCATTGAAGCTTGTTCCAAAGAAACAGCTAGCACAAGCATTAAAAGATTCAAATATTGCAATATCAAGTATAAGCACCAATTCATTGCAAGAAACAAACCAACTAATGTACAGCACAGCTGCAGTTATAACAGAATACCTGGGATGCAAAATCAACAAAGAAGAAAAACAAACAAACAGTGCACCAGAAAAATGGAAGGTTAGACTAGAAAATAAGATCAGCAAGTTAAGATCACGTGCAAGCAAGCTAGAATAGATGAAAGAAAAGAAGTTGAAGAACAAGAAGACCAAAGAATACCTAATCAAGAAATACCACTTAGAAACAAGGAAGATCAAGGAAGCACTGGAAATAATAAAGCAACAAATAACTGCTATAGCCAGGAAAATTAGTAGATATGAAGCTCGAATTGCAAACTATAGGCAGAACCTCCAATTTCAATCCAATCAGAAACGTTTCTACCAATCCATCAATGGAGAAACTGCAAGGAATCAGTCAGTACCTGACAAGGAAGAAACAGTGCAGTTCTGGAAGCAGGATATGGGATACCCAAGAGATAATACAACAAGATGCTGGCTTTGGTTACAAAAAGTGGATGCAATAAACCAGAAGTTGGCATGAAAGAACTAGTAATACAACAAAAAAATCTGAGAAACAAGAGAGCAAAGAAAATCAAAAAAGAAGAAGGAGGGGGGGGGGGGGAAAGATTGGTCAGCACCAGGTGAAGATGAACTGCATGGGTTTTGGTTGAAACATCTAACTGTTATACACCCACTCATTGCCAAACAGTTCATCAATATACTACAAGGAGGAGAAATTGAAAAGTGGCTAACAACTGGGAAAACCTACCTAATAATGAAAAATCCAGCAAAAAGGGCAACACCAGGTAACTACAGGCCAATTACCTGCTTACCAACAACTTTCAAATTACTAACTGGTGTAATAGCTGATGCAGTGCAACAGCATCTAGTTGAAAACAATCTCTTTCCACCTGAGCAGAAAGGAAACCGCCCCAATAGCAGAGGAACAAAAGATCAACTCCTCATAGACAAAATGATCTTGGAAAACTGCAAGAGAAGGAAGACCAACCTGAATGTGGCATGGATTGACTACAAAAAGGCATTTGACTCTCTGCCACATGATTGGATAATAAATTGCCTAGAAATAACAGGAGTCAGTAGAAACATCAGAAAATTTGTGCAAAGATCGATGGCACAATGGAAGACACCGTTGCAGATCAATGGTGAGAGGCTGGGAGAGGTTAATATCAAGAGAGGAATATTTCAAGGAGATTCATTATCACCATTACTATTTGTTATTGCACTGTTTCCTCTGTCAACAATACTGAATAACTCAGGCCATGGCTATCAAACATCAAAAACATCTGCCAGACTATCCCACCTCCTTTACATGGATGATCTGAAACTGTATGGAAAAACATCATCTGAAATAGAATCGCTGCTCAACACTGTCCGTATATATAGCCAAGATATTGTAATGGAGTTTGGCTTGGACAAACGTGCCACACTTACTATCAAACAAGGAAAAATAGTGAAAACTGAAGGAATCAAGATGCCCCACGAAAATAACATTAAGAGTCTGGATGAGGAAGAGTACTACAAATACTTGTGTATTCTTCAAGCTGACAACATCAAGCACACTGAAGTCAAGAAAAAGATTAGAGGTGAATACATCAAGAGAGTGAAGAAGATCTTAAAGTCCAAACTCAATGGAGGAAATACCATAAGGCAATCAACACCTGGGCAATCCCAGTCATTAGGTACACAGCTGGAATAGTGGACTGGACTCAAGCAGAACTAAAAGCAATGGATAGGAAGACCAGAAAAATAATGACAATGAATCATGCCCTTCATCCATGCAGTGACATTGATTAGACTTTATCTACCAAGGCAAATATGTGGGCGTGGAATGCTACAAGTACATCAGATGGTTGAAGAAAGAAAAAATGACATTTGAATGAATTCTGGAGAACAATGATGAAGATGCACTGAAATTAGTATATCAGGAAGGCTTACTTAACCACTTGGAGAGACCAAAACGGGCCTCAGGAAAAGACCAAAATGAAAACGAAATAGAGCATGGAATACAAAGCACTACATGGCCAATATATGAAAAAAATAGCTGGGAAAGCAGATAACAATAAAACCTGGCAATGGCTAAGAGCAGGAAAATTGAAGAAAGAGACCGAGGGACTAATTCTGGCTGCACAGACCAAGCCTTAAGGACAAATGCATACAAAGTCAAAATTGAGAAGACAGCAACAGACAGTAAGTGCCGCCTATGCAAAGAAGCTGAAGAAACAGTGGACCACTTGGTAAGCTGTTGCAAGAAAATTGCACAAACTGATTACAAGCAGCGGCATGACAAAGTAGCAACAATGGTGCATTGGAAGATCTGCAAAAAATATCATTTGCCTGTAAGCAAAAACTGGTGGGATCATAAAATAGAGAAAGTCATAAAAATGATAAAATTAAACTGCTCTGGGACTTCAGAATTCAAACAGACAAGCACCTGCAACATAACCCCCCAGACTTAACAATTGTCGATAAGAAAGACAAAAAAGTCTGGATAGTGGACGTGGCAGTGCCTGGAGATAGCAGAATAGAAGAGACAGAACTGGAGAAGATAACAAAATACAAAGACCTACAAATAGAAATAGAAAGACTGTGGCAAAAGCAAGCAAGGGTAGTACCAATAGTCATAGGCGCCTTGGGTGCAATCCCAAAACAACTGGAGCACCACTTGAGCACCATTGGCATTGACAAATTCGCTATTAGTCAATTGCAAAAGGCGGCCTTACTAGGAACTGCTTCCATCCTTCGACGATATCTGTAATACCATCAAACATCCACATCTGCCTATCCCAGGTCCTGGGTAAGGACTCGATAGGTAGACAAAATGCCAAATCCAGTCTGAACATCTGGCTGACTGTGCGATGATCGATAATAATAATAATAATAATCCCCCAGTGAGGCACTACCTTGACGTGGTTGTGGGGCTTGTGTATAGGTTGTAGATTTAGGGTTAGGGTTACTATATAGATGTTGTTGTTGTTGTTAATTGCATTAGGCCCTTCTCCAGTGAGTCCATCCTTCTCATTAAGTGGCCAAAGTATTTGAGTTTCAACTTCAGGATCTGGCTTTCTAAAGAGCAGTCGGGGTTGATGTCCTCTAGGACTGACTAGTTTGAACGCCTTGCAGTCCAAGGGACTTGCAGGAGTCTTCTCCAGCACTATATAGATGCAAGCCTTTAAAAAAAAACCCTCAGATAATCTGATTACGTCTGTCGTCATTCATTTGTAATGTGTTGCAATACAGTATGACATAGATACGAAGCTGTTTATAGCTTGGCAATTTAGTGTTAATGAATAACTTGATCGTTTGATAACCCTTGTAGGTTACTTACTAGTTTTATTGTTTCTGGGCTTCCGAATATTACAAAATACTTTCAATATTTAGATTTATTGTCAACTTTTTAAAAAATCTACTATTTACACGCACACATCAACTTTTAGATTTATATGGCTGAATTTTAAAAAGAATCCTCCTTCATGTGAAACCAAAGATCCGGCTTAGGTCAATGAACTCATAGATGGACATTTTAAAAATGAACTATAAATGTTTTTATCTTTAAAGAGGGACTGGGTAAATAACACCCAAGCTTGCTCTGTTTTTCAGGAAAGAAACTATACAATATGCATATGTAAGATAATAAATAATCCTCTCAAATACAAAATTCACAACATCTTGTTTACTTTTCTTTTTTGAAGGTTAAAGAAATTAAAAATATGAATAAACTCTTTGAAAAACCACATTACTACCATCTTGCTTAATTTAATTCTCTACTGAATGTTAAAGAAGTTAAAATGTAAATGAGTCTTGTGAATCAAGAGATTCTTAAAGGGCTCCCCAAGCAAATACACAGCTAAGCCACAGCCACACACCCACAACAATAATTTAAAAAATCCACCCTGAAAGAGTGGCCCCGGCTTATTCTTTTTTTGTTCTGGCTTTCTGTATTTGAAGAATGGACTTAATATTACCAGTGGTATTAATGTCCACAATTATGTCTTTAAATCAGGACTGGGCATTCTAAGATCCAGCATCCCTGAATTGTTTTGATAAAATACACATGCATGCAAGTTGCTGTTTCTTAACTAGAGCCCATGTTTTCAACTGTTTTATTCTAAACCAATTAATCTTTCCCAAAAAGGAGTGCACGGTGGCCTAGAGGTAAAGATGCTCACCTCACACTCAGGAGGTTGAGAGTTCAATCCTAGGCAGTGACAGACGTTTCTCTCAGGCCGTGAAGAAAATATCTGCTGTGAACTCTGTGTAGGTGTCAGGAAGTAAGCCAGTAAATGCTCGCTTGGCTCCATTCAGTCGTCCCAACTCCACTCTAATAAAAAGGGTCATAAAAAGAAAAAAAAATCTTTCCCCAAGGGGTTAAAATTTCTGCCTTTCTTTCTTCAGTGATCATTGTGTTGCTACAACATTCTTGGTGGTTGCCAGAGGCTGAAAGAAACACAAAGTGCAAGAGCTGAAAAATTGCCTAATTGTGCTCTGGACATCTGCTCCTTGCAAGAAGAGTGCAGGATAGTGGTTTCCACACAGGAGACGACAGAAACCATTAAGCTCTCAACTGCGGCGAAGCCTTTAGGGAAACTTGGTTCATCCACTTTCTAATCACTTTTTGATTTACAGTTATTTAGTTTAAAAAAGGTCTTTCAAACAATAACTTTGAAAAAAAACCCTGATAAATAAAACTTCATCCCAAAATAGAATAAAGGCTAATTAGCAGTTTAAATAACTTAAAAAAGGTAAAACAGACTAGTGTTGTTACTAATAATAATAATAATAATAATAATAATAATAATAATAATAATAATTATTATTATTATTATTATTATTATTATTATTATTATTATTAAACTGCTCTGGGACTTCAGAATTCAAACAGACAAGCACCTGCAACGTAACACCCCAGACTTAACAATTGTCGATAAGAAAGACAAAAAAGTCTGGATAGTGGACGTGGCAGTGCCTGGAGATAGCAGAATAGAATAGAAAGAACTGGAGAAGATAACAAAATACAAAGACCTACAAATAGAAATAGAAAGACTGTGGCAAAAGCAAGCAAGGGTAGTACCAATAGTCATAGGCTCCTTGGGTGCAATTCCAAAACAACTGTAGCACCACTTGAACACCATTGGCATTGACAAATTCGCTATTAGTCAATTGCAAAAGGCAGCCTTATTAGGAACTGCTTCCATCCTGCGACGATACCTGTAATACCATCAAACATCCACATCTGCCTATCCCAGGTCCTGGGTAAGGCTCGATAGGTAGACAAAATGCCAAATCCAGTCTGAACATCTGGCTGACTGTGCGATGATTGATAATAATAATAATAATAATAATAATAATAAGAATAATAATAATAATAATAATAATAATAATAATGAATAAAATAATACTCTGAGGAAGATGAGAGCTATGCTAGAGGTTCAACCATACTGGACATGTCTCATCAGAGGAGTCAGACAAAGAGTGTCTCTCCCATAAAAAATATGGTGAGACGTAAATTTCAGAATGCCATACCGGCTCGGACGTCGCCCGGGTTAACAAGGTCCGCACTAGATATTGGAGTTCCTTGATATCTGGTGAAAAATGGGTTACAGGACTCAGGACTGTTGGCTGAGCAACCAGGGCTAGCAGCTGCAGAACTACTGGAAGAAAAGGTGTTTACCCGTCGCAGGTACACAGTGATGGAAAACAAAGAAAGAATGATCTGTTACTACAGATCAAGTCCAACAAGGCGAGGATATCTAAAACGAATGCACCAATTCTGGAAAGAACAACATCCAGAATCAGAAATAACAGAACAGAGACTAGCAGATCAACGCCGATTTATAACACGAAATAAAATATTCACAGAAACAGAATTGGACTAACTGCAAAGGTTTACCCAGGGCAAAGAAATCAAAGCCTTACCAGAAGTAATTCAGAATGTAGAGGCAAACCAGGGGGAGTTGGCAGTGAAGGAATCCAGCAGAGATATACAACTGTTCTCATTTGGAAACCAGGCACCTCTTCCTCAGGAAGAACAAAACCCGCTAACTAAAGAAATAAAAGAATTGAAACAAAGAATAACTGAGCATCTAGAACAGCACAAAAACAACAGAATAAGGCTGCCTGCATTGAAGCTTGTTCCAAAGAAACAGCTAGCACAAGCATTAAAAGATGCAAATACTGCAATAGCAAGTATAAGCACCAATTCACTGCAAGGAACAAACCAATTAATGTACAGCACAGCTGCAGTTATAACAGAATACCTGGGATGTAAAATCAACAAAAAAGAAAAACAAACAAACAGTGCACCACAAAAATGGAAGGTTAGACTAGAAAATAAGATCAGCAAGTTAATATCACATGCAAGCAAGCTAGAACAGATGAAAGGAAAGAAGCTGAAGACAGAAGACCAAAGAATCTAATCAAGAAATACCACTTAGAAAAAGGGAAGATCAAGGAAGCACTGGAATAAATAAAGCAACAAATAACAGCTTATAGCCAGGAAAATCAGTATATATGATCTAAAGAATTGCAAACTATAGGCAGAACCTCCAATTTCAATCCCATCCAAACGTTTCTACCAATCCCATCAATGGGAACTGCAAGGAATTCAGTCAGTACCTGACAGGAAGAACCCGTGCAATTCTGGAAGGCAGATATGGGATAACAACTCAAGAATACAACAAGGATGCGCCTTTGGTTAAAGAGGTGGATGCAAATAAAACAGAAGTTGAAAATGAAAGCACTAGTAATAACGACAACAAAAATGGTAGAAAAAAGAGCAAGAAAATCAAAAATTGTCAGCACGCAGGTTAAGATGAACTGCATGGGTTTTGTTTGAAACATCTAACTGTTATACAACCACTCATTGCCAAACAGTTCAACAATATACTACAAGGAGGAGAAATTGAAAAGTGGCTAACAACTGGGAAAACCTACCTAATAATGAAAAATCCAGCAAAAGGGGCAACACCAGGTAACTAAAGGCCAATTACCTGCTTACCAACAACTTTCAAATTACTAACTGGTGTAGTAACTGATGCAGTGCAACAGCATCTAGTTGAAAACAATCTCTTTCCACCTGAGCAGAAAGGAAACTGCCCCAATAGCCGAGGAACAAAAGATCAACTCCTAATAGACAAAATGATCATGGAAAACTGCAAGAGACGGAAGACCAACCTGAATGTGGCATGGATTGACTACAAAAAGGCATTTGACTCTCTGCCACATGATTGGATAATAAAGTGCCCTAGAAGATGAACAGTAGTAAGTAGGAACATCAGAAAATTTGTGCAAAGATCGATGGCACAATGGAAGACACAGTTGCAGATCAATGGTGAGAGGCTGGGAGAGGTTAATATCAAGAGAGGAATATTTCAAGGAGATTCATTATCACCATTACTATTTGTTATTGCACTGTTTCCTCTGTCAACAATACTGAATAACTCAGGACATGGTTATCAAACATCAAAAACATCTGCTAGACTAGCCCATCTCCTTTACATGGATGATCTGAAGCTGTATGGAAAAACGCCATCTGAAATAGAATCGCTGCTCAACACTGTCCGTATATATAGCCAAGATATTGTAATGGAGTTTGGCTTAGACAAATGTGCCACACTTACTATCAAACAAGGAAAAATAATGAAAACTGAAGGAATCAAGATGCCCCCCGAAAATAACATTAAGAGTCTGGATGAGGAAGAGTACTACAAATACTTGGGTATCCTTCAAGCTGACAACATCAAGCACACTGAAGTCAAGAAAAAGATTAGAAGTGAATACATCAAGAGAGTGAAGAAGATCTTAAAGTCCAAACTCAATGGAGGAAATACCATAAAGGCAATCAACACCTGGCCAATCCCAGTCATTAGGTACACAGCTGGAATAGTGGACTGGACTCAAGCAGAACTAAAAGCAATGGATAGGAAGACCAGAAAAATAATGACAATGAATCATGCCCTTCATCCACGCAGTGACATTGATAGACTTATCTACCAAGGCAAATAGGTGGGCGTGGAATGCTACAAGTACATCAGATGGTTGAAGAAGAAAAAATGGCTTTGGAAGAATATCTGAAGAACAATGATGAAGATGCACTGAAATTAGTATATCAGGAAGGCTTACTAACTACTGGAGAGACCAAACTGGCCTACAAGAAAGACCAAATGAAGAACAAAATAGAGGCATGGGAAGACAAAGCACTACCTGGCCAATACATTAAAAAAATAGCTGGGAAAGCAGATAATAATAAAACCTGGCAATGGCTAAGAGCAGGAAAATTGAAGAAAGAAACCGAAGGATTAATTCTTGCTGCACAAGACCAAGCTTTAAGGACAAATGCATACAAAGTCAAAATTGAGAAGACAGCAACAGACAGTAAGTGCCGCCTATGCAAAAAAGCTGAAGAAACAGTGGACCACCTGGTAAGCTGTTGCAAGAAGATTGCACAGACTGACTACAAGCAGCGGCATGACAAAGTAGCAACAATGGTGCATTGGAAGATCTGCAAAAAATATCATTTGCTGTAAGCAAAAACTGGTGGGATCATAAAATAGAGAAAGTCATAGAAAATGATAAAATTAAACTGCTCTGTGACTTCAGAATTCAAACAGACAAGCACCTGCAACATAACACCCCAGACTTAACAATTGTCGATAAGAAAGACAAAAAAGTCTGGATAGTAGACGTGGCAGTGCCTGGAGACAGCAGAATAGAAGAGAAAGAACTGGAGAAGATAACAAAATACAAAGACCTACAAATAGAAATAGAAAGACTGTGGCAAAAGCAAGCAAGGGTAGTACCAATAGTCATAGGCTCCTTGGGCGCAATCCCAAAACAACTGTAGCACCACTTGAACACCATTGGCATTGACAAATTTGCTATTAGTCAATTGCAAAAGGCGGCCTTATTAGGAACTGCTTCCATCCTGCGACGATACCTAGAATACCATCAAACATCTACTTCTGCCTATCCCAGGTCCTGGGTAAGGACTCGATAGGTAGACAAAATGCCAAATCCAGTCTGAACATCTGGCTGACTGTGCGATGATTGATAATAATAATAATAATAAAAGTTGGAAGGGACCTTGGAGGTCATCTAGTCCAACCCCCTGCTCAAGCAGGAAACCCTATACCATTTTGGACAAATGGCTGTCCAGTCTCTTCTTAAAAACATCCAGTGTTGGAGCATTCACCGATTCTGGAGGCAGGTTGTTCCACTGGTTAATTGTTCTAACTGTCGTCTTTTTTACATTGGGTGACCAAAACTGGATGCAGTATTCCAAGTGTGGCCTTACCAAGGCATTGTAAAGTAGTATTAATACTTCACGTGATCTTGATTTTATCCCTCTGTTAATGCAGCCTAGCACTGTGTTGGCTTTTTGGCAGCTG